AAATCTACGCTCATCATTTAAGTAACGCACCTACATGCCCCCCTGATTCGATGCAGTGGAGAGGTCGAACTGAGTTCTTGATTTATACAGGATTTGAGTCTCCCCAACTATCAGTAGCTGCTCCTCCGAAGGCAAGATCAAAGTCAAGGGCTGCTCCCAGAAAAGCGGCCCCATTAATGAACTTGCCACGTAATCAGGCCTCTAGCAGCGTGGATCAATTGGCTCCCCTGAGTAGCAATCAGCTTACAACAGCACCACCTAAAGTCCTCCCGTAAGCAAGGCTTTCCGTGAGACTCCGCTTCCTAAGGATCCACCACCAAAGCCAGGTCCTCCAGTAACAACCTTTCCCCCCGCTCCCAAACATCGAGCGTGTCCAGACAGAGATGCGAGGGAATCTTCAGTGGTGGAGGAGGTAGATTAAGCCAGTGCTTCACCCAAAGGACCTTGGAGTAAGACCTAGAATCTCTAGGCGTTTAGAACCAGATCTTTATCTTTCGGGGTCCCCTGGGTAGTGTTCCACAGTTAGCTAGGGTTGATCATAATTTTTCCTGGGAAGGTCCTTTGTATTTCCGAGCTGGCATTCACGCAGAGTCCGAGCGTCTCAAGTAGAGTCGTGCCAAGAAGGGAGTCTCACTCGAGTCGATAGCGTTACAGAGCGACTTGCGCTCTGGCGATGCTTCACTTCAAGTAGGGGTTACGTGTTTAAAGGTTCCTTCTAAGGGTTTTCTTTTGGGTTTCTGGGTGTAGCCATGAGTGCTAGGCATAGGAATATCGATTTTCATCCGTTAAGGAACTATACCCTAACTTGAGCATGCGCAGTATGCAACAAAGGCCTTGAGCCCGTCTCCTCAGGAGAATTTTTGTGAAGCCTCATGAGGCAAGGCTTGGAAGTTTTGTCGAGTTCAGTTCATGGATTTCTCGAACGGACAGTAAGCCTTTAAAAGGCGGAACTTCGCGAGAGCTCCGTGGCTTGAAGCAACCATATAGGGTTCAACGGTGTTGAAGGGGGAGTGTGAGAAACCCGGTCATCACCAGTTGCTTCAAGGGCTCATGTGTGTGATTCCTCCAGGCCTTTTAAGATTCGAGCGCAGTAGTGAGAAAAGAGTCGATTGTGGTGAACGTGAGCTTTTCAACCTATCTTTCAACCATAACCTTCCAATAGGCTGTCAACGGGCGTTGACTTAAGATCAGATGTTCAAAAGCCTTTCAGCAACCTCGCCCTTTTAGAAACTGAGAGCCTGAGGCTGTATGGGGCCGGAAGCGACCAGGCAAACCATGTAGTCAAAACGGTGGACCGGAAGACTACCTGAAGAAAGCTATGGAGCTCGATGGCTACAACTGCGGGCGCGTGGCTAGCATGACTTTGTGCCAAGGCACCTCATCGCCAGCACCCTTGGCCTCCGAGAGACGTACTTCGAGCTCCTGCATCAGCTTGATATGTACCATTGTCTAAACTCCTAGTATCCCCCTTAATAATGGAGAATCAAATGGAAAAGCAAATGGAAAATGAAATGGAAACAGCTATATATAGGCTTATGTATGGGAATATAGGGGTTATAATCTAAACCTGCCCCAAATTATTGCACATGTTCATGCAGGACCTCTTCCATCCCGGACACCATCTCTTCCAGGACGGTCTGCAACAGGAGAATTACACAGGACTAGGCTCTGGGAGATAGCAAGATACTGTTTGTTGGCCCCCATGAGGCTGTTTCAGGTTGACAAGGGCAAGTAAACCACATGTGGTCCCTTGAAACTGGGCACCTTAGGCTACTGAGAAGATTGTACACACGACGGGGTAAGCGCCAGACGACATGCATGACTCTCAAAGCTGCAAGACACAATGCAAGCAGCAAGCTGCAAAGAGAAGAAAAAGCTTCAGTGCTTCCTCATGGGCCTGTGGGATTTTTCTGGGCAGGTCTTGAACTCCTTCTAGATCTTAACCCCTTTTCCGCCTTCTCGCATGTTTGGCTGAAATCATATCCGGATTTGCATCAACCATTTGCCTAAACTCGTGCGACGAAAGTGGGGTTAAGGTGAAGCAAGACGTCACGTCTTCACTCCACCGGTTGCCTCAACTCGTAGGAGAATCCCTGGCACATAGTAGACTTGGATCGGTAACCACATCCAAATACCAGCGCTTCTGCTCTTGGTAGCTGCAACTGCAACAGGAACACAGGAACCATAGTAGTCTTCCAATGCGTCGGGGTAAGATACTCGATCTCAGCTGGGTCCACCGGATGCGCCGCCATTCAAACGGAAGAGGCATAAGGCCGGCTACCGCCAATGGTGGCAGCACTTACAGCGGCTCCATTGTTGGACTCTTGGTTCCAAGTCTGTCGTTCTGCGGCCTGAAGCCGGTGCCAGCGGGCGCTGGGATTGAAGTCTTCCTGAGGTCACTTTTCATTTTTCCTGCCGACATGAGATCACTTTCCCTCTCTCTGGAAAACCCTGCTCCAGAGGAGTACCGACGCTGCTCGTGCCAGGAGATCGTGTCAGCGCTATGCTCGCAGGGTCCTTCCACAAATCCGGTTGACATGCTCGATCTCAGTTGGGTCCACGCTGCTAGTGTGGTTGCTACAGCCGAGGCGGCCCTGTGCCAGCAGTGCAGGACTGAAGTTGAGAACGCCTTTGCTGATTGCTTCAGAGGACTTCGAACCGTGGAAGCGGCGGTTTTTTGGAAGGCGACCCCTTGGGAAAAGGGGGTGGGGGGGAGTGAGGACGCCGCTGCGACAGTTACACCTTACGAGCATCTTGCCAAATTCAATTTATCGCTCGAACACAAGCACCGGGCTCCGTTGTCGCAGCTAACTTTGAGCTTCACTCAGGCACTTTGGTAGGCCCTTCAGTTGCTAAAAACACTGCAATCGTCAATGAGGTTCAGAAAAGAAAGGCAAGGACTTCAAAGAACAGACGCGCACACGCACAGGAGGGTGCAAGGTACTAACTTCTTCATGCGCAAAATCCAGGCAATGTTGTGGCACACAGATACTTACTTTAAAACTGTGCTCCCATTCGGAGTCCCTCAAAAAGAACAACTTGAGACACCAGAGCTCAACGCAGCTGAAAAAAAGGTAGTAAAGCAACGCAAACTCCAGCAATGAGTCTAGGCTAAGAGCGCACAGCACCCCTGCATAGCGCCTTCTACTACAGGGAATTGTGCGGGAAAGCAAGGCACTGGCACGCATCCACTTTGAAGATTGCTAATCAGCCAATCCTGGCAACATGTGAAGCGGCTCCTCGGCTCCGGCTGCTGGACTGTTTGCTGCAGGCGAGGCAACCACTGCTGGGTTGCTGTTAAGGAA